CCTGCCAAGCCACACTTGGCATCTTCACCTCCGGGCTTCGCCGGCCTGCCACCCAGTGAGGGGCCAGGGCCCAGTGGCTCCTCTGCCATCCTGTAGAAGCGCCCATTTGGTGCAGCCTGCCGGTTGCAGCACAGCTGCCTTCTGTGCGACCGCGATGCCAAGCTGGGGCGGGAGGGGGAGAGGGGACGGCTGCTCCCTGGCCCCTGGTGGGAGGTGCCCCTGCCTTCACCCTGGCTGAGAACTGGGCCCACAGCCCTCGGGCAAGCCCCTCCTGCTGAGTCCCAGCCTGGGCAGCTCAGGAGGGCAGGTGGTCAGTGGACCGTCTGTGTCCCCACACTAGAACTGCAGGTCCATGGGATCAGGGAGCAGCGCAGCCTGTCCTGTCCTGCGGGCTCCTCCCTCTGCCACCTTTCTCAGGGAGCCCCTGCTGCCCAGGGGGCTTCACCGGGTGGTGTGGCTGTGTCTGGGTTCCTGGGAACAGACACAGGCCCAGGGCTCCCCCTCCCCCGATTCCACTCTGTTCCCTGAGAACCCAGGCTCCTCCTGACCCTGCACAGTGGTGCTGGGATTCTTGGAAAAATACAACAAAACTTCCCTTGGTGGCTGGACGGGAGGCGCTGAGGCAGGAAGGAGGAGGGAGGGAGGGGAGGAGAGAGAACTTGGTGTGTGGGGGCCCCGGAACAGAGCTGTCTGTTCCCGGGACACACAGCAGCTCTGAGCCTGCCAGACGGGGGAAGAGGAAGGAAGGAAGGAAGGAGGGGCCCAGGAGACAATGTTCCTGTAGCTCCGCGGGGACCCTGGCCCCCCCAGCTCCGCCCCTCTGCATCCTGCACCTGTACCTGGGCTCCCTTCCCCCACACCCGGGGTCTCTCCTGGGGTCTCCTGGGACCCCACTCCATCTTCAGTCTTTGTCCCCAGCATCAGCATCTTACGCCCTGGGCTCCCTGCCTCTGCCTCTCCTGTGGCCCCTGCAATAGGGGTGCAGGTGTGGGTAGTGTGAGGCCTTCTGCCTGCCCGGATTTGGTCACTGAGCACCCACAGCCTCGGGCACCCATGGGGCTGGACCACAGAGGTCCCCAGGCCAGCAGGGGAGGTGGGGAGCAAGGAGAGCTGTCCCCCCCTCCCATGTTGGGAATGGCGCTGACCACTGGCAGGGGCAGGCCCTGGAGCATTCAGCCGTACAGGATTCAGGCCCACGCTGCCCCCCACACCGGGGGTGGAACGCCTGGATCTTTGGTCCTGGGGTCTTCTCTGGGTCAGACCCTGTGCTGGGCTTGCGCACCATGGCCATGGCTGTGGCCAGCAGTTTGGCCACCCCTGCCCAGTGCCTTGAAGGAGGCCACACCTGAATCCGGAGCACATCAGAGCTCAGCTCCAGGGGCCAGAACAGGCGGTGAGGGCTACAGTCCTGAGGACCTCGGGGGACACCCAGCATAGAGGGGACCCTCAGGGGACTGTCAGGGGCAGGCTGTCCACCTGGAGACTGCTCACCGCGCTGTGACTTACCGCAGACGGCAGTGGGCAGTGAGGGACAAGGCCTCGGGACTGGGGTTGATCCCAGAGCCGGCAGGTGCAGAGTGGATGGGGGGGTCCTACAGTTTCGCTGGAGGGAGGGCTTGAAGGCTGTGTCCCCTGGGGATATGGTGGGGCACGGCCTGTGGCCTGCTGCCCCCTGCTGCCCCCTGCTGCCCCCGCTGCCCCCTGCTGCCCCCGCTGCGGCCCCCTGCTGCCCCCTGCGGCCCCCGCTGCCCCTCGCTGCCCCCCTGCCCCCTGCGGCCCCCGCTGCCCCTCGCTGCCCCCCTGCCCCCTGCTGCCCCCTGCTGCCCCCTGCTGCCCCCGCTGCCCCCCTGCTGCCCCCTGCTGCCCCCTGCTGCCCCCGCTGCCCCCTGCTGCCCCTCGCTGCCCCCCTGCCCCCTGCTGCCCCCTGCTGCCCCCGCTGCCCCCTGCTGCCCGCGCTGCCCCCTGCTGCCCCCGCTGCCCCCTGCTGCCTCCTGCTGCCTCCTGCTGCTCCCTCAGCCAGTTTCCAAGAAGGGTATGTGCAAATGATGCAAATGACCAGAGTTTGCACATGTGTGCATGCGTGCAAATGTGGGGTATGGGGCTCTTCATGTGTGTGGTGTGTATGGGTACCAGGCCCTGCCCTTCACTCAGTGTCCATGCCAAGTGGCACACGGACAGACTGGGTAGACAGCCAGGGCCCTGCCCGTGGTTGCAGGGCAGCCCTGAGGTGAGGGAGGTGGCACAGGGGTTAGAGCTGTGTTGGGTCGGGCTCCCCGAGATGGTGGCTTGAGGAGGGAAACCCCCCTCCTGTCCTGGCATGATCCAAACCCAGGGCCTGAACACAGGAGCTGTGCCAGGGACAGAAGAAGCCAGAGCCCAGGAGGGCCAGGACAGTCTGGGGGGTTTCCCTGGCTGTCTTTACCCCGCAGAACCAGCCTCGCTTGGCTTGGGGACCCAGGACCTCCCCCGCTCCTGGCACAGGCTCTGGTGAGTCTGGGTGCTGTGATGCCCACTCAGCACTGCTGTCCCTGTTGGCAGAATGGGCAGCAGAGGTGGGAGGAGTTGGGGGGGGGCTGCTGTCAGCTGCCCCCGCCCCCGGGCAGCCGGGTGCCCAGCCTGGCCTCTTTTCTGGAGGTGGAGGGAAGCAGGTTCGCAGAGGGCCTCTGGGGCGATAATTGGGCAGCGATTAAATGTTCCCAGCGCAGGCTGGCGCCTGTCACCTGTCACCACGGGTCTGCGTTCCGGGCTCTGCAGACCTGCCTGGGCGGGGGTGGGGAGGGCAGGGCCAGCTGGATGCGGGGTGGGGGAGGGGCACCTGCTCTCCTCCGGCCTCTCCCCAGACTCGTCCTTGAGTCCTTGAGTCCTTGAGCACTGGCTTACTGCGCTCTCTCTCTCTCCCTCAGAGCCACAGGGTCTGGTTTGTGACTTCCCATGTCCTGGAGAGGGCTGTGGCACCAGCCGTCCTCACCCTGGGCTCACTGGGAATTGGTCCCTCCTCGAGGCCGACCCCAAGGGTGCCACTGTGCCCAGGCTGCAGTCCTAGGTCATGCTCACCCTGCTTCAGTTCACCTCCTCCTCCCCAGCCTGGCAGGTTGCTAGAGGCCTTGGAAAGGCAGAGGAGGAGGCTGGAGGCCCCTGCAGGCCCCTGCAGACCTAGGCCAAGCTGACCCGACACCATGGTGCCACACAGGCTTGTGACCCCTGGGGGTGGTCCCTGATCAGGAGCAGCGGCCCAACCGGCTCGGCTCCCGCTCAGCTTGCTGCGGGTCCTGCCGCCTCCAGCCGCCTGGTGCCGCCCTGTGGAAAGCTCTGGAGGTTCTGGCAGCTTCTCTGTCTCCCCCTCCCCGCTCCACGGGGCCACCCGCCCACTTGCCTTTAATTAGCAATGCCAGGAGAGCCATTTTGGGGAATTTTTTTTTTTTTTGAGAAAGACATTCCTCTAGGGACGGAAGCCTGGGTGGGGAGGGAGGGGAGGAGACAGACAGGCTTGGGGGGCTCCCTGGGAAGGGGGAGGGGTCAGGGATGAGGGACTCTGCTGTGTCTGTGCATCTGCCTGTCCTGAGTCCAACCTCGGCCGGTGGGCTTGGGGTGACCAGAGTGTGCGGGGGTGGGGGATGTGATGGAGATACGAGTGTGCGAGTGGGGGTGAGTGTGCGAATGGGGGTGAGTGTGCGAGTGGGGGGTATGAGTGTGTGAGTGGGGGTGAGTGTGCGAGTGGGGGGTATGAGTGTGCGAGTGGGGGTGAGTGTGTGAGTGGGGGGGTATGAATGTGTGCGAGTGGGGGTGAGTGTGTGAGTGGGGGGGTATGAATGTGTGTGAGTGGGGGGGTATGAGTGTGCGAGTGGGGGTGAGTGTGTGAGTGGGGGGGTATGAATGTGTGCGAGTGGGGGGTATGAGTGTGCGAGTGGGGGCACAATGTGCTGTGTGTGCTGGAGAGGGCACTGGCGGCAGGAGGCAGGTGGCTGCGACCACGGCTGTGCGCCTCTGCTGCGGGGTGGTCAAGTGGCCGTGTCTCCTGTGAGGCCCAAGCCCCCCCAGGCTGCGGGGTAACCCCAGGCACGCGTCCCTCCCCAGCCTGTGTTGCCAGGCAGACGACACGGCGTCCCTCCGGAGGGAACCTCAGCTTCCGGAGCCTCACTCCTTATATGGCCTCCAGCTTTCCTGGGCTGTGCGCGGCTCCTCCCTCCTTTCCCTCCCTCTCCGCCCTCCCCCCTCATCTGCCAACCCATGCCAGTCTACAGTTTCTGGGCAGGCATCTGCTATACCTGGGGGCGGGGCAGGATGCAGTGACCCCTCGGCTCCCCCAATCCCCTCCAGGGAGACGTTTCCACATTTCCTGGGGGTGCTCGGATTCCGGTGGGAGCCCCCGGGCAGCCCTGGCCACTGCAGCTGCCGCCTGGCAGGTGTCTTTCAGGCCGCGGGGCATGTCCTGCGCGCAGAGTGGTCAGTGCTGCCCGAAGGCGCTCTCTCTCGCCAAACCCGGCTGCACGAGGGGCGGTGAGGCCCCGGGACAGCGGAGTCCGGGGGCGGAAAAAGCCTGCAGCCCCAGTGCACGGAGCCTGCCTGGAGACCCTGCTGCGTGGAGCGTCCAGGCCCGCAGCACGGCCTGGCGTTCCCGCGGCCCGGGTGGGAGGGCGGGGAAGAGGATTAGTCACCCCGGGCCGGCCCCGAACGCAGGGGGAGGCGGGTCCTTGGTCGGCGCCGCAGGGAGGAGGCGCGAGTGGGCGCGGGCAGGCGGGGCCGCGGGGTGCAGGCGGGGGCCGGGCTGCGCCAATGGGAGCCGGGCCCGGCGAGGGGGGCCGCCCCCGGGCCGCGCTGGCGGCATAAAAGGCAGGCGCCGCGGCGGCTGGGAGCAGAGCGCGCAGCCTTCCATCAGCTCCGGGCTCCAGGCGCTGGCCGCGCTCGCCCGCATCCGCGCTCTCGCCTCGCGTCCGCATCCCGCGCTCGCCAAGCCGGTTTGCTCACGAGCCCCGTGCCGCCCGTATCCGAGCATCCACCAGTGCGCACCATGGAGCTGGACCATATGACGACGAGCGGCGGCCTCCACGCCTATCCCGGGCCGCGGGGCGCGCCGGCCGCCAAACCCAACGTGATCCTGCAGATCGGTAAGTGCCGAGCGGAGATGCTGGAGCACGTGCGGAGGACGCACCGCCACCTGCTCACCGAGGTGTCCAGGCAGGTGGAGCGCGAGCTCAAGGGGCTGCACCGCTCCGTGGGCAAACTGGAGAACAACCTCGAGGGCTACGCGCCCACCGGCGACTCGCAGCGCTGGAAAAAGTCCATCAAGGCTTGCCTGAGCCGCTGCCAGGAGACCATCGCCAACCTGGAGCGATGGGTCAAGCGCGAGCTGCATGTGTGGCGCGAGGTTTTCTACCGACTGGAGAGGTGGGCCGACCGACTGGAGGCCATGGGCGGCAAGTACCCGGTGGGCAGTGGCGAGCAGGCCCGCCACACCGCCTCAGTGGGCGTGGGGGGTCCTGAGGGCTGCTGCCAGGACGTCGACGGCTACGACTACAGCGTGAGCCCCTACGCCATCACCCCGCCGCCGGCCGGCGAGCTCCCGGGGCAGGAGCCCGGTGAGGCCCAGCAATACCAGCCGTGGGTGACCGGCGAAGACGGGCAGCCGAGTCCCGGGGTGGACACGCAGATCTTCGAGGATCCCCGCGAGTTCCTGAGCCACCTGGAGGAGTACCTGCGCCAGGTGGGCGGCTCCGAGGAGTACTGGCTGTCGCAGATCCAAAACCACATGAACGGGCCAGCCAAGAAGTGGTGGGAGTTCAAGCAGGGCTCCGTCAAGAACTGGGTGGAGTTCAAGAAGGAGTTCCTGCAGTACAGCGAGGGCACGCTGTCCCGCGAGGCCATCCAGCGCGAGCTGGACCTGCCCCAGAAGCAGGGGGAGCCGCTTGACCAGTTCCTGTGGCGCAAGCGCGACCTCTACCAGACACTGTACGTGGATGCCGACGAGGAGGAGATCATCCAGTACGTGGTGGGCACCCTGCAGCCCAAGCTCAAGCGCTTCCTGCGCCATCCGCTGCCCAAGACCCTGGAGCAGCTCATCCAGCGGGGGTTGGAGGTGCAGGATGGCCTGGAGCAGGGGGCCCAGCCCGCCGCCGAAGAGGAGACGGAGGCCCTCACGCCCGCCCTCACCAGCGAGTCCGTGGCCAGCGACCGGACCCAGCCCGAGTAGGGGGCAGCCTCCCCACCGGGCCCAGCCCGGGCTTTTGCCCACTGGGACTCTTGTGCTGGAGCCGACTCCTCCGGCCCTCATGCGGCCGGATACCCCCTCAGCCTCGGGCCAGACCTGCACGGACAGACTCCGGCTCTTCCAGACACGTGCCCTGCCCCTGCCCGGCTCTCGCCCTGTGTCTGTCCTCCCACTCACCCTCTCTGTCTGGGAGCACCCACCCCAGCTGGTCAGCCAGCCAGCAGCCCCACCCTACACACGCAGACCAGCATAGCACAGCCAGCCGCCGGCACCCTCGCTGTTGGCTCCAGTGCCTGGGCACCCTGACAGCCCGCTGTCCGGCTGGCTTGGACCAGCGGGCTCACCGACTCCACTCAGCAGAGCTGAGCTAGTGACCAGCGCTGGGGGAACTCTTGCAGCCGCCGTGGAGCCCGCTGACACCCTCCCTGCCTGCCAGGGCAGCTGCCAGCCTCCGGCATGGGGCTCCCTCCTCCTGCAGGAGAGCCAGAGCCACACACACACACAGCAGCAGCAGCAGCAGCAGCAGCAAAGCTGACCGCCTCCCCGGCCCCCCTGCAGGTGAGCCCCTGCCCCAGCCTGCAGGCTGACCCTGGGCATGCAGGTGTCCCCGGCCGGTTGGCTGTAGGGACGGGAGGTGTGTGGGAAGGCAGGGCAGATCCCCTTCCCCAGGAGTGTGGGAGGGGGCGGCAGGGTGTGGCAGTGCCAGCTCACGGGCCCTGTGTGCTCTCTCCCTCAGCAGTGGGCATGGTGATTCACGTCAGCCTGGAGAAAGTTCAGCGCTCGGCGGTGACTCAGCTGCAGGCAGGCGGAGGGTCCTACAAGCAGAGGGTCCTACGGAGACTGGGCCTCAAAGCAGGCTGAGGCGGCAGGCAGCACCGTTGGAGCCGGGAGCGTGACACCAGGTAAGGGAACCTGGCTGTTCTCGCTGCGCAGCTGGGGGCGGCCCCTGCCTCCCATCCCCAGCCCCTTACCTGCATCCCAGCCTTAGGCTGACCACCTCTGTTCTTGCTCTTTTAGGTTCCTCGGCTCCCACCGAGTCGTTGCTGCTGTGCCCAGCCCCGGCCCTTCCCGTCTCCTCTCTCAAGCTGCCTGTGTGTGGGCAGAGAAGTTCCAGGACGGTCCAGAGATAGAGACGGCCACGGCTTGAGCAGCGTCCCCAGCTCCGTGCCAGGAGCTGCTGCTGGAGACGGCCAGCGCGAGGGCCAGGGCCTTCTGCCATACCCGCCCCGCTGGCCGCATACGCTGCCCGCCCCACGAGCCACTGCAGCTGGAGCCACTGTGGGCCGTGCCACCCTCCTGGCACGGAACCCTGCTCGCTGCAGGGCCTTCGGCGAGCCTGGAGGCTGCCCTCGTCTGGGGGTTCCGAGCCCAGGCCCCGAGATCCCCTAGGCCTCTGCTCCTGGGGCTGCCCTGCTGCTGCCCAGGCCGGGCCTCACCACCCACCGCCCCTGGCCCTGACACCTGGTGCTGGTGGCCACTTGAGTGCAGCCTGAGCAGGCACTTCCTGGGCTCCTCTTTGTGCACTGTCCACGGGGGTCTGAGCCGCTAGAGGCCAGCTCAGCAGGTGCCCTGACAGGTCCTGTGCCCTGCCCCCTGCCAGCCACCCCCAGATTCTATTTTTGCACAGAAGCCATACTCCACACAGGCAGGCGCTGGCTGCAGGGCATCCTCCAGGAACCTCAGAGGGTGTGGCCACCCCCTCCCCACCCACATACATGTACATGGCAGACACACGGACCAGGCCTTCAACATCCAGCCGGGCAGGTGCCCCCCACTCCCATGCCCTGAAAACACTCTTTTTCTAAGATTTTGTTAATAAATTGCAACACTGAGACTTCCTGGAGAGTGTGTGTGGCTGTTCCTGTGTAGTGTGGGGTAGTGCCTGACCGAGAGGAGCCCCTGTGGGTACAGCAAGGGGCCCTGGGTGCCAAGTGCACCCTGGCCTATCACCTTCTAGGAGTCCTCTGCCTGGCTCAGCCTGGCTGCCAGAGGTCAGGCTGTGGGCACTGGAGCTGGCTGCGGAGTTGGGGCCAGAGGGAGGTGGCTCTGTGTTCTGGGTGGACTAGGACCTCTCAGAGTCCTGCTAGGGGTGCGGGGTCTCAGGGGGAGGCCTGGGCAGGACAGCAACAGAGCACCTGCTGTCAGGAAATGCTGTCACTGTGACCACATGTGTACCACTCTCCCCTCCTTGGAGGGCAGGGGCAATGGGCTGCAGGAGCAGAGGCAGTTCCCAAGGGGCGGGAAAGCAGAACGGGAGGCACTCCCCACCCTGCTTCTGAGCAGGAGCCACCGAGGTGCCAGGTTCCTTTGCTAGTGCTTGGGAGGGGAAACCGAGGCCTGAGGACCCTTTCTGGCAGAACCAGGCTCTGGGAGGCCTCTGCCAGGTGGGCGCAAATTGTACAGCCCAGGGTTACCCCCATACCCTGCAGGTCACAGGAAGGCTGGCGGGACCCTGGGCTGTGAACTCCCGGTAGCGGAGATGGGGAGGCTTGGGAGATGGACAGTGAATGAACAAGTAAGGACGAGTGACAGCCGGACCACCAGCCCCATCCGTGGCCCTCCTGCTGCCTCCCCAAGCGGGCGTCCTCCCCTGCTGCCCTGAGCCCTGCCCGCAGGGAGCCTCACTCCTCTGTTGTGTGGCCAGTCTCCCTGGCAGCTCTACCCACCCTCAGGCTGAGACGAGACCCTGGTGGGCGGCAGCCAGAGCTTCTCCTTTCCCAATGCCCAGGGCTGGACTCCCCACCCTCCACCTTCACAGCCCTAGGCAGCCCCTCCAGCCTCCCTGAGGCCCCACCCGTCTGCAGATCACAGCCTGGCGCCTGGCGGGTGAGCATGGCCATGGCCCAACGCAACGGTCCCTCCTCCTACACAGGCCCTAGTGTTCCAAGGTGGAGTCTAGTCAGCCCTGCCCCGGTCAGCTTGTCCCACCTCTGCCGCCACTGCGGGCCTCGTGGGTTAGTCACTCCTGAGGCCCTCTGCCTGCTCCACCCTCCGGTCCATCAGCATTGAAGATCTGCACTTAACTTGTAGCCGTATTTGTGCGTAGCACAAAGCCTAGATTAAAAGCGGAGGCTTCTCAAACCACTAGCGAATCATCACTGCCTTCCTTTACCCAAACCAGGGGGGTGTTTTTCAGTATTTTACTTTATTTTTATTGGAAAGTTAGATTTCACAGAGAGAGAAGGGGGGGATCTCACATCCACCGGTTTATACCCCAAATAACCACAATGGCTGGAGCTGAGCTGACCAAAGCCGGGAGTGGGAGCTGCACCCAGGTCTCCCTCGCGGGCGCAGGGTCCCAAGGCCTTGGGCCGTCCTCCGCTGCTTCCCCAGGCCACACGCAGCGAGCTGGACCGGAAGCAGCCAGGACTTGAACCGGTGCCCCTATGGGATCCTGGTGTTGGCACAGAGGCTTAGCGTGTCAGCCCCCAGGGGGCTTTTGGTTTAGGGAGTGCAGACACGCAGTGGAATACACCGTTCGCCTCTCTTCAAAAATGCAGATGCTGGCAACCATGGCTTCCCAAGATTGTGAACTTACTGCAGGCCAAAGGGCTGCACGCTGGGCACTGGCTGTGGGCACAGTTTCCCTGGATGCTGCTCATTGCAACAGAACCACTGTCTTCAAGAAATGATAACTTAAAAACAAAACAAACAACAAAAAAAGAAATGATAACTTAGCCCAAGCTCTCAGGCTTTCGTGTGCAACAAAGTCAATAAATTTTTGGCAGGAAAACGGATCCTGATTCAGTGAGGATAAATGCATTTCTAACACGTGCAAATCAGCTTATAATAATGCAAACATATACATTTTTTAGATTCTTTTTTAATTGGAAAGGCAGGTATGCAGAGAGGCGATAAAGAGAGAAAGACCTTCCATCTGCTGCTCCACTCCCCAAATGGCCTCAATGGCTGTAGCTGAGCTCCGATCTGAAACCAGGAGCCAGGAGCTTTCTCCAGGTCTCCCTCACTGATACCAGGTCTCAAACACCTGGGCAGTCCTCCACTGATTTTCCAGGCACAGCAGGGAGCCAGACGGGCAGTGGAGGAGCTGGGACTTGAACCGGCACCTGTATGGAATACTGGCGCCACAGTGCAGAGGCTTAAGTTGATGTGACGCCATGTTGGGCCCTGCTTACATCAGTGATGTGGGAACCTATTTAAAGGGAACTGCTTGGACGGGTCTGGCAGGACCCCCACCTTTTCCCTTCAGAGAGGCCCTGCCGCCTGGTTCCCTGGCTGCGTGTCCCTAAGTGGTGGTTGCCTGTGCCCTGTGGGAGACCTCCCCCGGCCCTGCTAGGCTCATCCCTGGGGAGTCTAGGCTCCGCACACACAGCTGCCCAGCTCAGCCTTGGGACCCAACTCCCTGCCTGGCTCACGGGCCCTCAGGATCAGGGCCACCATTGCCCCTGCAGGTGCGACCACAGGGATGGTAGCTGCTTGAGGGAAGGGAGTGCCTGCGGGATGGCTCAGCTCTGGGGCAGCCTGTTCCTGACGCCCCTTGCCTACCTCTCTGGGCACCAGCAAGCTGCCAGGACTCCTGGAGCCCACTCCTTGGGCAGGGAACAGCTGCTGTCTGCCAGGCTCCTATTCAAATGCCAACACCCTCCCCTTCCCAGGCCCTCCAGGCAAGCCTCTACATCTGCCTGGGGTCCCTGAGAACAGCGTGGAAAGCAGCTGTCTGGACTTAGGCTGCAGGACACTGAGGGGCGCTAGCCAGGGCTGTGCTTCTCACTCCCAGGCTCCTGCCAGCTGCCCGGCTCGTCTGGCATCTTCCCGGAGCTGGGGCTAGGAAGGTAACTATTTTTAGCTGCTGTCGCCGTAATTAACTGTCTCTTCACGTTGCCCTGCCTGCCTGGTACAGCCAGGATGGGAGGTGTCAGCCTGTCCCCTGCACACTGGGCTGAGGGGAACCCAGCATGGAGAGTTGCCTGCATCCCTGCACCCCATCAGGTCCTGCCTGGGAACCCTGCCACCTCCCAGGAGGGGGCTTGTGGGTACAGGGGCAGGGTTCCAGCTGCAGGCCACCCTGGCACCTTTACAGAATTGAGCCTGACCTTGGGCAGAGGGAAGTGGGGGAGGCAAGAGCCCTCCACTGGGACTGGGTGAAGGGCGGGGCGTGTGGCCC